GTGCTGCCGGAGCGGCAGCTCGGCCGGTCCATGCACTGCGAGCGGGCGCGCACTGCAGCAGCAGCGCTGCAGGAGCTGCGGCTGGGCCGAGCGTCACTGCGGCTCTGCTCAGCACCCTCTCTCCGCCAGGTCGACATGTACGCCGGGGCCCTCTTCATCCAGCAAGCCCTGCACTGGGACCTCTACATCGCCGTCGCGGGGCTGCTGGCCGTCACGGCCGTCTACACGGTGGCAGGTAGGTCCCCAGGGCCGCGCGCGCAGGGGACGCGGCGCAGCGTTGCGTTCCCTGCTCAGCGAGCTCAGGAGCTGCACGCAATGCACCTTCTGTGCAACCTTTGCCATTGGTATGGACAACAGAAAAAATAACAAGCGATTGATAATTCATTTTTCGAGAAAACGACCAGGTAGGAGTAAACGAACGGCATTTGTAAGGCCATAGAAGACACGGACACGTGTCTACCCTGGCACAAAGGCTCAAGGCATTTGCTCAGCACCTTTTCCCTGAGTGCCACAACGAGCAGGGCAATGGGCAGAGCCCTGTCAGTGCCCAGGTGCCCGTCACAGCCTCAGAGCAGCCAAATGGAGACCAGGCATGGATGGCGTGGGATGCGACCGCAGACCAACAAGGTTTCTCTTTTCCAGTGCTCACCTTGGTGATGCTGCTGGTAAACAGCCCCTTCTGCCTCCTATCCAGGCTGGTTTTGTCTTGGAGCTCTTCCCAGCACTTCCCCTCAAAGTGTTTGTACCAGACTTTGCCTGTATAGAGACAAAGGGTGACTCGTTACGATTCAAAAATGAGATATTTCAGCCAAACGAACTGGTTGAACTGTACCCTAGCACGGGCAAAACCCTCTACGTGAGAGTGTGCCAGGCAGGGCTCTCAGAGTACATTAATTGTCAAAAAAAAAAAAAAAAAAAGAGATGCTGAGATGCTATGACAGAATAAATTCAATTTCCCCCAGTTCCTGCTTCTCTCTTTTCTGTAGGTGGTCTGGCAGCTGTAATCTACACAGACGCTCTGCAAACTTTCATCATGCTGATTGGGGCTGTGACTCTCATGATCTTCAGTGAGCATTTCCCTGGGGTTTTGTTACTAAAGCTATCATAGAAGCTAATGCTTAGTGCTTAATCACTACAACAGATTGTTTAATTGATGTTCTGTGAACTGTTTTATATACGTGTTCCTGCATCTTCCATTAGTTCTTTATGCGGTAAAAATGTACTAGTCCATGAAAAGTGTCTAAAGAGCAGCTATATTCTGAAATAATGTTATAGAGATACAAGCACATCCCCCGCTCAGCAGACTTACAGTGTTAAGCTATTTAAGGCCAAGGGCTTCTGATTTTGCAGCTTGCAGAGAATGCAGTGACAGGCGGCAGAGCCGGGGCCCGGGGAGGTGGCTAAGGGCTCCCTGTGACCCGTTCCAGGCTTCGTTGAGGTTGGTGGCCTCGAGGGTTTGCAGACCAAGTACTTCGAGGCCGTTCCCAGCCGCCGCGCGGGCAACGGCAGGGGAGGGGGGGCCCACCAAGCCTTCCGAGACCCCGTGAGCTCCGACCTTCCCTGGCCGGGGGTTTTGGTAGGAATGACCATCCCGTCTCTGTGGTACTGGTGCACAGACCAGGTATGTTACTGCTTATTTACTAAAATCAGCTTTTTGGTTTCAAGAGAGTGTTATTAGGTTGAATCCAATTGAATCCAATTACAAAAACCCTATTTGTGACAAAATCTGGACTCCTTTTTCAATTCTGTTTTGAACTCAGTAAAATTTTATGATTTCAAACCCAAGGCAGCTAAGTTTGATATGCACAGCTAAGAGCCGGGGAATCGTTTCAATTTAAATAGGAAGGAGAATGTATGTGTGTGTGTGCACATGTTAGCCCCAGTGTAAATCCCAGTCTCCAAAGTTTTTAAACTCCAGCCCTTCCCTTCTTGTGACTTGCCTGTGAACTCCCCCTCGTTCCACTCTCTCCATCAGTCCTAGTGAGAACAGCAGAACCAGCAAACGGGAGGCCCTAGGCAATCCCCTGGCACTACTGTTTTATCTAGCTCATTTTGCCAGCTGAAGACTCTGTCTGGTTTGGCAGAAGGGCGGCCGAGCTCACAGGACACAGTTATCCGGTCAGTGAGGCCCCCCAAAAAAGAAGATGAAAGAAAATTCTAAGGTGGAATGTGATTAGTATAAGAAAGAGAGTATTTAACAGGGTACACTGTGTAGGCGAGAGCTTGGATGTGCTGATATGCAAAGCCTATGTTCCCACAAAGACAGGATCTGAAGCAGGGATTAGAAACACAGAGTCAAGCTCTGTTTTCATCTTTCACAGACCAGTAGTTTAGAGGACAACAAAGTACAGAAGTCTGTGCCAAAGAGTAGTAACGATTCGGCCTTAAGTTTCTCTTCGTCTCGCTGTGGAGCGCGATGCAGCATTGCCAGAGCTTGCAGGGCGGCTGCACACAGAAATCGGCACCACAGCAGCTGCAGGACAGTGGAGCAAACACATTTCTTAATTTCTAGGTCATCGTGCAAAGGTCCCTTGCTGCTAAAAACCTCTCCCATGCCAAAGGAGGCTCCCTGATGACCTCCTACTTGAAAATTTTGCCCCTCTTTATGATGGTAATGCCTGGCATGATCAGCCGGATCCTCTTCCCGGGTAAGTGCTGAAGGAGAGAACTGTTCCCTCTGTTTCTCACTCATGACAGCTACCCTGTGGGGACCAAAAAGGCTCTACAGAATAAGATAAAAGGTTGAAATGCATCCAAGACCCCCAAATACGAAGACTTTTTCCTTCAATTACCACAGCACATCCCCATGCAGCAGACCCCAGATATACTTTTAAAACACACTCGGGCAGCTTGCTCTCATCCCTCCTCACTGCAATCCTGGTGCTGCCTCCAGCTGCTCCTCTGCATTCTGCACGCGCACTCAGGCCCCTCCTGCACCCAGAATGTCACCCTTCCAGGAATTCAGGTTTGAGACACTCGCAGAAATCCTGATATACCATCTAAAATGCTGCCTTTGCAGCCCCTGAAGGCTGCAGGCTGCTCCTTAGGTGAGGACATGCGCATATGCCTGTCCATGAAGCCGCGTGCCGAAAGCGGGTGGATAGCCCTAATCCCCAAACATTCCAAGAGAAGGAGGCATAAAGACAGGCCAGCTACTTCCACTGATAGTATCTTTTGCCTGGAAGAAGGAAAAAGAAAGAAAAAAAAAAGGAACAAGGGGGAAACTCAGTGCGATTCTTCTCTCACTATGTCCTGATTATTTGCTGGAAGATTTCCAAGTTTTCCAATATTCAGTATCTATCTCATTTGGGGGATATTTTACAACATTCAGCAGACTAGCTTACAGCTTATATCTACTTGTTTCTGGGGATCACTGAACATCGCCTTTCACTCCCCTTTGCTATTCCAGACCTGGTGGCTTGTGCAGACCCAGAGATTTGCCGGCAGATCTGCGGGAATCCCTCCGGCTGCTCCGACATCGCCTACCCCAAGCTGGTCATTGAACTGCTGCCCGTGGGTGAGGAGCCTGGGGTCACAGGGGTTGGTTACCTGTGAGAAACGCTCCAGGACAAGGATATTGCTGAGAAACGCTCAAAGGGGGAAGCACCCTATGCTTTATACATATAAAGTATATGCTATATACTTCATAAACTACATAGTGTGGAAAGTATAAACTGTAATTGCAGTGGGGCTTATATTGGGCTTGATGAGGCGGGGAAAGAAACAGCATGAAACAAGAGCGAGGGGAAAAGATCCGCTATCCAGAGGTCTAGCCCAGCCACATCGAGACGAATGACACAGAGCGGATATTTAACAACGAGAAAATCAACCGTTAAAGCCATGTGCACGGAGCCTCCCTATCAGGGCCATTTTAAAACCTCCCAGCCAAATTGAGACGAACGACACAGAGGGGATATTTAACATCGAGAAAAATCAACCGTTAAAGCCATGCGCACGGGGCCTCCCTATCAGGGCCATTTTAAAACCAGGACTAGAACTGGCCTCTGCGGCCCTGCGAGGAAGGAGCCGCAGTGGCCGCGCGGGAAGGTCCTGCGGCTCCCACGGCTCCGGCTGGGCTCTGGGCACAGGGAAGGAGGAAGGTGCAGGTTTCCGCCGGGATTTGCTTGGGAATGTGCCCCGTGGTGCGTGCTCAGCGCCGCTGCTCTTTGTTCCAGGACTCCGCGGCCTCATGATGGCAGTGATGATCGCAGCGCTGATGTCCTCCTTGACCTCCATCTTCAACAGCTCCAGCACCATCTTCACCATGGACCTCTGGAAACACTTTCGGCCTCGCTGTTCCGAGTGGGAGCTCATGATCATTGGCAGGTGAGGAAAATCAAGCCATGCCACGTTGTACCCGAATTGGATATTAGAGAAACCTCTCAACACACCTTGTTTCCTGCTGCCCCTGCACAGTCTCTTCAGTGTCTCCAGTGTCTATTGCTTCACACCAAACATGAAAAAAGGCAGAATTTGAGCCCTGAATTTGAGACTATTTTCCTTTAGAGACTCTTGCTCTCTTCTTGTTAGATAGGTGGGGGAGAATCTGGTTTAGTCAGGCAATACTAGGAGAGGAAAACCGAGATTTCATTGCTCCAAAATACATAAGCGGAGGCAAGAATTAAACAGCCAGAGAGGGCAAAACCTGGGGACACCTGAGTGGTGCTGCAGAATGGGCAAGGGCCCAAATCCAGGTGAGGAAGGGCTGGATTCTGGGAACAAACACGGGATTGCTGGAGGACAGGAGTGCAGACCCTCCTATTGCAGGAGCTCTCACTAGGAGTGGAGCAACCTGAACGCCTGGAAAACGGGAGGTCTGAACTGACAGTAACAGCATCTTTTCCTGCACAGGGTGTTTGTGCTGCTGCTCACCGTGGTGTCCATCCTGTGGATCCCGCTGGTACAGGCTGGCCAGGGAGGGCAGCTCTTTATCTACATCCAGTCGATCAGCTCCTACCTGCAGCCCCCCGTGGCCATGGTGTTTATTCTGGGTTGCTTCTGGAAAAGAGCAAACGAACAGGTAGCAACTCCGCTGTGCACAACTGCCCTTGTGGTTTCTCTGTCCTCGTGAGAGTCCTGCAGCTCAAACCACAGCCCCAGGCTGCAGTTCTGGCTCCTCTTGGGGTGTTTCGGAGGGCCAATGCACCCAGTCTGCTCCAAAGCCCGAGCCGCAATGAGCCCCTGGAGGGAGGGATATTCCCTGTTCCCTCCAAAGACTCCAGGGTCACTCCAGTGAGATGAGTGCGTTCCTCAGGTGCAGGGTCCTCTTGAATCTTGGTGCCTCTAAGGGGACCAGCAGCCATGCGCTCATTTACTGCATGGACTTGTGCCACCATCTGCAGCGGGGGCCTTCTGAGAGCAGCCCCAGGAGTCACAGAGGGGTGGAAGGGCAGTGGGAGACCAGCACCTATAGCTCCTCCAAGAGGGCTGGTGCTGGGAAAAGCGGGAAGCCAGGACCTGGAGCAGCTGGGAGCTCCTCCCTGACAGGGCTTTGGCCAGGCAGGCGGCAGCTGTGAGTGCCCCATGGCCCAGACAAACACTACGATGCAAATATCACCCTTTGGAATACGCTGGCGCAGGACGTTGCATCCTTCCTGCACACCAGCACTGACACCTCTCACCAGGGATACGTGGCTGCCCCAGCAGCACCAGCGGACCCAGAGAAACAGCAAAGGAGGACAGGGAAGCCCCTACCAGAGCAATCCTGGCCCTTCCGAGCCTGGCACGGACGGGGTGCTGAGCAGGGGGTCTTGTCCCAGTAAAGAACAACCTTCGTTTCCTAGGGCGCGTTCTGGGGCCTGGTGACAGGGCTGCTGCTGGGCTTCATTCGGCTGGTGCTGGACTTCATTTATCCAGAGCCCCAGTGCGGGCAGCCAGACGTCAGACCAGGTGTGGTGAAACACATGCACTATCTCTACTTCTCCATGGTCCTAGCTGCGGTTTCTACAATCACTGTGCTGCTTGTGAGCTTGCTCACAGAACCCCCCGCGGAAGAAATGGTGCGTCACCCCCTTAGATTTCTTTCATTACCTTTAATTTGTTTGCAGGATGCCCCATGTTCCAAGCACGGGAATAATGTGGAGATGAATAATGTGGAAACGGAGGTTTCCATTCATTCTTTATTTGTGAAAATCCTTGCAATAACCTATAACACAATTCCATCTCTGCTCCAGCATCCTGCTGCCTTGCCATTTAAGACTTTGGTCCCATAAATCCAGAGGTCCACCCTGGAGAGTGGTCAACAGTAGATGCTAAAAGCTTAAGTCCAAAAATGTATGTTTAACCCAT